TTGATGCTGCTGTTTGTCAGTTGGGGTCTCCCTGTGTTGTACAGCTTGTCTCAAACACATGGGTTCATGCAACCCTCCTGACTCAGCCTCCCAAATAGCTGGGATTATAGCCATGAGCCACTATGCTGGCCCATGGACTATATTTCTTTTTTCATGTGAGTCTCACTTGGTCTCCCACAAATCTAAGTCCTTGCTTTGCAAAGGCTGCCAAATTAACAGTTGGCATCTCCTGGTTGTGTTAGAAATACAGAATTGCAGGCCGCATCTGAGCCCTGCCTAGTACAAACCTGCATTTTTCTTAAAGGTAGCATGGTTTTATCTTTATCAGTGGTAGGAAAAGAAATGCCCTCTGCAAAACGAGTTTGGGCCTAGTAAAACTAGGAAAGAAGTATTCTGTACCGCATGAGTGGAGTCCTGTGCAAGGACCTGAGGCAGACCCAAACCCACATTTTTACAAGATCCTCAGGGAACCCATCTGCAAGCTAAAACTTGAAAACAAAAGCTCTGAGAAATTTGTCTGCAAACCTGGGCCCAGCGCTAAGAGTTAGGGGCAGAATTATACGGAAACGGATTAAGCAAGTAATTTAGAATCATCTGGTAATTCAGGAGACAGCTACAGCAGATTAAGTTCCATTCCACAGGACCGTGCCCGGAAAGAAGCGGAGCTACGGTATGGAGCCGCGCTGAGGCAGGCGGGGCTGGAGGAGGACTTCGTGCGGAAGAAGGGTCAGGGCGCCCAGGCTGTGCGGCGGAAGGAGGCTCAAGGCCAGGGTTCATCCAGGTACCCGGGCCGCTCTGCTGTCCTGCGCTCCGGCTTGTCTCCCAGACATTGCCACACTGGGAGAAAACTTCGCGAGAGCTGCTTACACTCTGTGATCACAACCCCGTACATAAATGGGACTAAGCCAGAGGTCTGCCACATTATTGGGATTTAGAATAGTACGCTGTGGATAAAATCTACAGTTGTATTAAGTTTAGACTCTTTCAATTTGAAACATCATTTTCTAATTCAGGTTCCAATGCCATGAGTAGAAGTATTTCTACTTTCTAAAAACAATGTATATAATTTTTTTTTTTTGTCTTTTTGAGACAGGGTCTTTTTTTTTGTACCGGTAATTATACTCAAGACCTCGCGCATGCCAGGCAGGTGCTATGCGGCTGAGCTGTATCTCCGGCCCTTTGAGACAGGGTCTTGCTACGCAGTTCAGGCTGGTCTTGAACTCACTTTGTAGTCCAGGCTGGCCTCGAACTCACAGTGGTCCTCCTGCCTCAGCCTCTCGAGTGCTGGGATAATAGGTGCTTGTAAAATGATGAAACTTTTTCTAGCACTCCTTAAAGGGAACTCATTAGCAGCACCTCCTCCATAGTCCAGGTGACACTGTCTCAGTCAAAGAGAAGCGCAGGATCTCCGTTGTTCTCAATTTTCATTTCTTGCGTTCTGTAGCCCCTCCCCTAATGCTTGTTTTCCTCAGAAATGTCCCTTTGTACCCAAATAAAATGAAAATGTTGAAAGCATTCCTCAACCTTACATAATGCTTTCCTTAATTTAAAATATTCTATTTCACTATGCCTTATTTTGCAGTATCAAGGAAACTATAAAACTTGACATCAGGGATCCACAGCAAGATTCAGAAGAATCCCTAAAACAGCTGACAAGCACCAAGAAAGACTTGGAGATGCTGTCTTATGAATCACCAGACAATCTCAAACCACGCACCTAACCAGTGCACTTAACATCACTGCTCTGGACGCCACGCAGCTAACAGCTGAGGCAAAGCAAACAGAACTTGGATTTTGTGTCATGGCCACAGTTAGAGAATGGGAAAGAGTAACAGAGAAGAAGCGATTCGAGATTGAAGTGGACAAGCACAGGGTAGTGGGATCATAGTTTACAGGTAAAGTTCTTGCTTTTACCCTGACACTTACAAGTAAATATGGGGC